CGTTATAACAACCCATATACTCAAATTTTAAAATATGAAAAGTCCCATGAGCCTTTGCTGCCTGAGCATACATTAAATTTTCACCATGTCCATGGGCTGAAAAAAAAAACAAAAGATTGTAGGCAACTACAATAGCTACTCGTTTAACCATAAAAAATAAAACAACTTCACTTAAGAAGTATTTTGTATTTCTCATATCATTGCATTTGGCCCGCGGCCCTCAAGTTGATTTTAATTTTGGCMCTCTCAGGGRAAATGTTTGGGCACCCCTGGTTTATTAGAAACGATAATACAGCAGATTATTCTGCATGACAATTACCAATTTGTGTCTGAAAACTGTACTAGACATTACAGAAGCTTATTAGTGCCACCTGGAAAAAATATTAAGCAATATTTTTTTGTCGTTTACCACAATTAACCAACAACAACCTCTGACCTGATGRCCTGAACGTSTGAAATGCTGTTTTCTTGCTTAAACAAGTAGAAAAAAATCAAATTGGTTGGGATGAGGGACTACAGATAAAAACTAGCCTTCATGGCTAATTCTGGCATGTTCTGTAATGTGCACTGTCCCTTCTTAAACAACAACAATAACAACAACAAAAATCCTCCTCCTTTCTTCTGCAGTGGCCCTGATACACAGATAAACTTTGTAAACAGAAGCAGAATTTGAACCTGTTTGTACAATATACGCTGAATTAGAAACAGCTATTTTAAACTTTTACCCATTCAAAAAAGCATTTTAGTGACACAAACATCCTCACATGGAATCTGTAAATTATATATATGTATATATATATAAAAAAACTCCAGAAATATCCATCTGTATGAGTTTAATACTTACTTGGATCTGTGTTAACTACTTTAATCTCTGCTACATTGCTGCTTGGTCTGTAAGCAATCCCTCTAAGCCATGGCTGGAGGTCAATATAGGCGTCACGCACTTTATAAATTATAAAAATCAAATAGTCACAGGCTTCTTCTCCTTTGCACTGAACCAACTCCAGGATTTTGCGCACCTGAAAGCAGAAAGAAAAAAAAAAAAAAACGACATTGGCTGAATAAGGTTCATGTCTGCATTTAAAACTACATAACAAGACGTCCAACCTGGCTTGGTTTGGTGGCGGTTCGTTGGACAATCTCAACGTCCTCCTGACAGAAGAAACCACACGCCAGCAGGTTGTCCAGGAGACACTGAATGCTCCTGAGGCTGGAGACCAGCAGCTCTCTGTGCTGGGTCAGGATGTTCAGGCAGGACATGTTGGCTTCTTCYATCTGGACCATTATTACAGTTCAACAATCAMATCTGTCAAACAGGAGACAAGAATGGTGGCATTTTACCACCGTATCAGTACAATCATCACATCTACTCTGTTAAGAAGACCAGAAGTGGAAACTTGAAGAACGCTCTTACTTTTATGGGAGACCACAATTATGTGTTACAGTTTCGCTTTGGCTCAAGTTCAGAAGAAAGCAGGTCAGATCATGTGTCCARTTCTTAAATATAAAAGCTGTTTTCTTTTACTTTTGTATTTGAAGAAAACACATGTCAAAGGGAAAGTTCCAAAAAAGTTTCTCTTTCACTGTAGGTGCAATAAATAAATGTAATGTTTCCAATCTCAATGCATAACCAATTAATAATCATCGTTACAGTATTGAATAAATTATTAGTGATAATATTTCTACTGTAAAACYGATTAACAGACAAATTGCAGATRTCCACCACAGCCAGCTTAAAAYACCAACATGGTTTTAATTCAGTMAGTTTTACAGACRTTGTGCTAAATGTAGTAGCTGAGTCATCCACAACACACAGTCTAATCAGGGGTCTTCATTTAAAATAAGGTCCATAGCTTTATTTTATATARAGTTARAACAAAAGGAAAAGTAAGGWGTTTGGTTGATGATTTCTTTGTTGTAACAATAAATCTTACAGCTGCACCTGACTGGCAGCACCTAGGTTCCCCGAAGTTCAAAACAAGAGTCAACAGAAACAGCAAAGTAAGCTGTTTGGAAGAGACGATTTGGCCTTTTTTTCACGTGTGCAGCACTACTGCTCATCCCACAAATGCATGTTCCTTACAAAATGAGGCATCATTTAAAAGGGAAATTAACAGGCTTCCCTATGGTATAAGATTTATTGCCAGGTATCACCGTTAGAAAGAAATAATCTACCAAAAACTAATGACTGACTTTTGGTGCTGAGGTTATTCTTCACTCCTCGTGTTGTTAGTCCTGTTAAATCTCTGTGGGCCAGATGTGGGAATTACTGTAAATGTTAGAAAAGCTGTGCCTCCTAAAATAAATTGTAGTAAATGTGCAACAATCTGCACCTTTTAAAATAAATTTGCATGAATAGGCCTAGATGTTATAGAAAAATGCTCACAATTTTAAAAAAAAATCTATATGTTAAATTATTAAAACAGCTCTGAAACCAAACAACCAATTTGGGTCCAGACAAGACTACATTAGTGTCTGAATGATGTTGGAGTCAGTCTCACAGTGAGGACTAGAGGTCCACCTCTGTTCATCAGCACTGACCCTGAACTGCCTCTGTGTCAGTGAGTCATCCACAACACTGTCAGCTTTATCACCTGGTTTGACCCGAAGGCTGCGGGCGACATGCTTTAAATACTGGACCTTTAAACGGTTTTACTGAGTCATGACTACTTCCTGCAGGCAGTCTGTCATTTCATACATACCTGAGAGACACCTGTGTCCGCTCCAGGGTGTGGTCTGGTCTGGGGGAGTTTTGTCAAGTTTCAGACACCGGAAGAAGTGGTGGTTCCGCTCGCTSTTTGCTTGTTGTCACTCCGATTCAAACTAACTTTACTTCATATCAAATCGTATCACATGATGATGACCACTATCGTAATGATGCCGTGCCGTTTCAGAYACGGTTTCGATGGATAAATGAAAGTAACTCCAGGTCAGTGTCACGAGTTTCCTCTCGCTGAAACGTCCAGCTGGAGGAAGCGAAACTAGCTCCGCTCCTTTTCGCAGTCAGCTCGGCTGACGAAGCGGCTGACCGGGGTGGGCGGAGTTTGCSCTCCGKTTTAAACAGATCAGCTCAGATCCWGCAGATAAACTGTAARGTGTGGACTGTGCTACAGAATACCTGCAAACATTAATTGCTTTTACAATTACTGATGTGCATGCTCAGCATCAGTATTCTGCCGTGCATMGTGGACAAATAAAACTAGACTATAGCTGTGTCCAAATTTAGGAGTAAATGTAGGGCTGCATGCATCCTTTAAAGGCTGGATTTGTTGGCTGCCTACGACATTGCAATGCGCCAAAGGCTGTCCAAATTCAAAGACTCCTTCACTTGAGGCCCACAAATGCATTATTCCTTTGCTCTGATTTGAGGGTCTGGTGTGTCCATCCTATGCCAAAGTGTGTTTTGGAATTTTTTTTTTTAATGCAGTGGCCGACTATGTGAGAAAATTGAAAGCAAAAAATCTGGCGGTATAAAAATTTTTAAGTCTAAAGGGGTTGTGTTGTTAGACTTTTTTATTGTTTGGATAATATTGTTCTTGTCAGAAATCAAACAGGCTCGTAYGCGAGCCTTGATACTCAGAACTTACCAGTCTASTGGGGCAGTGTTTCCCAAAGTTGGGGTCGTTTATCATCCAAAAATAGCTGGGGGCACAGGTCTCTGCTACTATTATTTTGTGGGTCAAAAGCTGAAAAGTTTKGGAACCAGTGCACTTTTGTTCCCAAAGTTGGGCTTGGGACCCAWTTATGGGTCATGAAGCACCTTGGATAATCACCAGAAATCAATTTAAAGGGTAATAAAATAATTGCTGGTGTAATATTTTCCCTATAATTATTACAAAAACACAAAATAAGTAAAAAATAAGTATTTATATTTGTGTACAAGCTGTTTAGATTGTCAAAAAGCCTGTGTTTTTAGGGTTATTAACGAAGTTCATGTACTCAGACCAGTAATATTTGGGGTCACAAGTTTTTGCCATGGATATTTTGTGGGTCAGAAGAYAAAAAGTTTGGGAACCACTGATCTAGGGTACTGGTATTGATACTCCATTGAATGTGTTACATTAACTGTMATTGTAATGCTTAAGAAATGTACACAAGTTGAAAGAAAATCTTATTTATTGTAAAATGTAGCAACAGTATGTATCATGCTGTATGTTTGATTTGATTCAGTCAGAGAGGCTGTAGGGCAGTGACGTGGGGGATGGGCGTCAGAAGCTCGTTCACGAACAAACTTCTGTTTTCATTGGCTGTTAATATTTGGGTAAGCCTGGATTTTTCTAAAGCCTGTAGTACCACCGGGAAAAGCAAGAGGACTCCTTTTTCCTCCATAGCTTACCTGTCTAATATCAATCTGTCAGGAGATAGTGACAGAGTGAACAAATATGTTAAAAATATATTTTTAGAAAAGTTACATACTGCACCTTTAAGGATGCAGAGATCTTGTTCTAAATAAAAATAAATGTAATGTTTAAGGTCTAACTCAGTATTGGTGGGTACCCAAACTGAAGTACTTGTACTTGGTTTGAGAATAACTGGACCCTTCTTATCATAATCTCATTCTTACGTAGGGGTGAAGAGGTGAGTAAAGATTGTATTTTACCATCTTATTGAATTAACATTTAGGGCTGCACACAGCAAATCCCCTGCCTTCATCTAACCCTTTCCCATCCTCCTCCTCTTCACACCTTCATCATCATCATCAATCACAACAGTACATTTACTAAAAACTCTTTATTGTTAGAAAACGTTTACATAAACATAAATAGGTCAATCACACTGTTCTTATTTTTAGAAAAATAGCTGAATAACAGTAAACGTATTGTTACTGAGCACAAAGTAAAATTAAAGCACACTGATCAGTCAAACACACACACCTGTACACACATTATCATCATTCCACCTGAAAAACAAATCTTCCTTAATAGACAAAGTTTAATGAGTGAACTCAAACCTGAGTAAATTCCTGCTGAACCGTTCTAGTTTTAAAACCTCTGAGATCTGACCCACAATTARCAGATCTCACAAGTACAGTATGTAGAACAACACAGGTTTGATTTTACAAGGTATGTTTTTAAATATGGAAGCCTTACTAAACAACAGCACCAGTTTTCTTAAAATTATTAAAAACCTTTTTGTGCACAAACCTTTCTCAGGTAGAACCTTGAATYGAGTTAACTCCAAAAGTGAATCAGTTGTAGACGGACAGCCAAGAATTCTGGAGATTCACTAAAACCAGCCCAGTGGTTCATGAGATATTTTGCTAACAGTTCAGACCAACAAACGCATCCACACAAGCCCGCACACACACACACTGGAAATAACATCATTGCCTGTATGCCTTCAGGCCACGATGAAGCAGATGATAACGCTCCGTGTAGAAGAGTCTGGGTTCTGCAGAGCAGAAGATGCCGGCCCGGATAGTGGAGAAAACTGAATCTCCTCCTGGTACCACAACCATCCACCACAGCTGTTTAAAGCTCAGCAACATGAGAGCTGCAGGGCTCAGATCTCACTCTCATAGGTGTGCATGAATGTCTTGAGAGAGAGGATCTCGGCGTAGCTCCGGGTGGTTCTGCGGTACAGGTCCAGGCCCGTCAGGATCTCGACGTCTCTGACCCGAGCTGTGTGCATCCTCATCAGGTCCTCCACCCAGCGGGACTCGTCCTCTGAGCTCTGTGAGGCACAAACAKGGTCAGAATCAGAAAGCCATTTAATCATGTATTTTTACATACAAGGAGTCTGATGTGGTGCAGAACACAGAACATAAACAAGAAATATAAAAAAGTACAAGATTAAAAAATAAGATATGAAATGTATAGAAATAGAACATCAGGATATAAAAAGTTTGAGACTGTTGATTAAATAAGCTTAACAAAACTAAGAACTGGTGCTACGGACCAGCTGTTCCAAATTACAAAACTTAAGTAAATGTTCTTGCAGATGAAAGCATTGGGCCTCATGCAAGAACYGTTCGTACGCACAGATTTGTTCTTAAGTTGTGCATACGAGGGATTTAGGAGAATTTGTGGCATTCACCAATTTTCTCGTATTCTAAGATTTTTTTCAGATACGAACAAAATTCAGGAGTGGTCCAGACCTGTCGTATACTGTATTTTACGAGTACGGACAAAAGTAAGAGAAATTTAGGATAAGAATACGAACATGTTCTTGCATGAGGCCCATTGAGTGCAAATAAACATAATTGCAGTGCACATGACATTAGTCCAAAAACTGTTACGTGGACCAAAATACAGCATGTACTTTCTCCTGAATTTCATAATTTCATGAATAAGTTTCATTTCCTGCTCAATTATCTTTGACACTTCAAATATCAGTCAAATTATAATTTGGCACGATCAGATTCAGTATCTTATAAAATGCCAGCATTTTCACATTATGAAAAAAGAGGGCCAAAAATAATCACATCTGTTGAATCATGAAGTGGACTAAGTTTTTACATACTGTAGTTTCAGCAATTTGACTAAAACTTTGTTAAGAAATAAAAGTCTAATGAGTGTATTATTGTCATGTTATATCTAATTTAACTTCAGGCTTCAGTCTTTGAGTTACTTATTGATCTTAGAGCATAAAAATGTAAAGCGATTCTTACGTTGCAGGTCTCGTCGTTGTTGGGTCTGTGCGGCAGGATAAAAGCAGCGCTGTTCAGAGGTCTGCTGCATGAGTCTGCAGCCTGGGTGAAGTCCAAACAGCTGGTCAGRACCACAAAGAAGTGTGTAGGGATGAGGACTGCTCCTGTCATGTACCTGAAGAAAGAAACCAAAAAGTGGAGGTGAACAGGAAAAGAAACATGCTTTTCTCATCCATTCGTTTTCCAAAGACAAGCTCTCAACAAACTACTTTATGTTCTTCAGTCTTAAATCCAAAGCACTGTAAGAACTGCCAGCAGATTGGACTCAGGGTGCAGACACTGGGGACAATGAAGGTAAATTCAAGTATTTTTAATGGAAAATGATTTTATTGGCAGCAAACAACTTAATAAACCAGGGATCCAGCAGGACAAGAACTGGGAGCGACAGAGTGCCATGCAGCAGATATGATCCAACAAGTCAGTGAAGGACCGGTTCAACAGTGCGAGGGCTAAAGATGATGAGCAGCTGAGCTGAACTGGATGTGATGACAGGTAAGAGGGGCTGATTTAGTCATACAATACTGAGAAGCTGACTGAGGGTAAATAGAGGAAGTGGCACAGGGAACAGACTAACAGAGGTGAAATAATACAAAACCCCAAAAAGGAACAAAAACACAGAGATCCTATCAAGCATTTGTGAAGTGAACTGAACTGTTTTGATGGAGTTTGGATCTTTAGTGCCACWTCCTTCCTTTGCAAGTAGCCACACCTCCTGGAACCATTTTTCTTTTGTCTCATTGACTTCATTCTGTACATCTATGGGTGAACTGAGGGTGTCTATATAGCCCAGAGGTCGAAGCCTGAGGTGGCTACAATGTCCCCACAGAAYGGTCCTATAGGACAGGGGTCTGCAACCCCAGGTCTGCCCCGGCTCTAGAACCGAACGTGGCTCTTTCATCCTCCTGCTGTGGCTCCCTGTGGCTTTGGAACATTAATAATTAAGGTACAATAAACTGAATGTTTATTTTAGTTTGTTAGATTTTTACATTGTCCATGCCTCACAGAGAACAGTTCACAGTCCTGATGTGCAGACACTGAAGTTCAGAAGCAAAACATTTTTTTAATTTCAACATTAATTTGCAATTTATATATTTAATATTTAATTTATATTTAATTTATATTTT